CTGTCATTCCCGTGAGTCAAGGGTTCATCAGAGGTGAACACCACTAACAGCTTAACATTTCTGACTCTCGCACAAAAGTTAAATGTAAGCGTGTGAATCACTGCAGCTAACAAACTGAGTAATGGCTTAAACTCCCGGATTTATCAGTGAAACAGAAATAATATGATGTGCATCTGAATCAAAAGGGCTTTGTCAGATATTTGGGTCAACTGCTCCTTTTTAACATTTTCTAGTTAAGTGAGTTTCCAAGATTTTCCTAATTAGCCCCTGTGGGATGGTTAACAAAAAACCCTTGATGATTACATCTCATTTACACCCTTACATAATTGAGAAATGGTTATATTTTTATGTGCGTATATTTATGCATTTAAACAAGGTTTGTGTTTAATCAACTCAAGAGAAGGTTTTATTTCGAGATTAATGAATGTCCCACTTTTTCTTCTAGTTTCTTGTCAGCTTTGTCCATCTTGAACACCATTACATGATCAATGATCTTTATAAATTACATTCTCAGCTTCACTTTGTGATTCATTACATAGAGATATTTTGCACAATATCAAGCATGAAGCAGTCAGTAACCTGCAATCTTCATCAATTAAATTTCAACACTAGGTTTGCTACGCTTGCATGAATGTTGCCCAGGGGTAGCTGCTCCTCGTACACCCTTAGAAATGGTTCTACTGTGCTATTAAATACCCTTAGACCAGCTGTCTCTGAAGTACTTGAAAAGGGCCCCATTTGGCATAAACAACCTTGTCACATTGGAAACATTTGCAACGCCTCCTTTTTCAATCGTGATGCTTCGTTTGAGCTTCAGCTGGTTGTTTTTCATGTCCAGACGCACAAATGCAATGATAAAAATAAAGTCACCAGTGATGTCCCGATGATCTATTTTGGGTTTGGAAACGAAGGATTTACAACTCAATAAGAATTACATAACTATTCCAGAACTGTGGAGTAATCATTAACTAGCAGCGGTATTTTACCGTGTCTTCTTAAAGTGGAGCATCTGCTACTGATCATAGAAGCAACAAAACACATTATAGTTGCTAATATTGTTCCGGTTTTTCATGCTGCAGTGAGGAACCTAGTGGCAAAAGTACATGCAGAAGTTTTAATAAGTCTAGTGCACAAACTTGATTTGCAAGGAATTATGTAAATATTGGCCTGTTGTCATGGGATTTGGCTGTGTTGGAACACTACCTCGCTCATAGAGCCACACCCTGTGAATCATTTACCAAAGCACACAAAACCTGAGTAACACCAGGTAACACCACTGAGTAGCACCAGTTTCAGCACAGAGATTCTGTTCCACAACAGACTTTGGCAGAATAAGAATTACAAGTTAGAACATGGGGCTTTTGAGTGCTTTGTTTTGTTGCGGGGGTTTTTTTTCCCCCCACTGAACTTTACAGAAACCACAATGATTATCTCTGCTTCAGATCTTAATTGAATTTATTCTTTTCAGCTCATTTAAAACTAAACCAGACAACAAAAAAAAAAAAAAAAAAAAAAATGGGCCAAAAAAAATTTTTGATCCCCTGCAAGCAAGCAGCTTTATGGTTATCTTATTGAAGGGTCTGACCTTGCATGTGTCTGAACAGTGGGATTCAGTTGACGGCAGTGTCACACCCCGCCCCTCCTGTTCACGCCCTTGCGTTGATTTTCGCAAACTCTGTTGTCTCAGAATGTTGCAATAATCCCACTGACACTCAGCAGAAACTACACCCAGTCAACTGTAAACACATTCCTTTGCGGGTGGAATGTGCCTGCACACATAATTAGTGTATGAAACAGCAAAAAAAAAAAAAAAAAAAAAAAAAAGGAAAAACTTGGAGGGAAAAAACCCAAAAAAAAAAAAAAAAAAACCCCAAAGT